TAATGCCAATACTACTACAGCTAATGCTAATACTACTACAGCTAATGCTAATACTGCTACTGCTAATGCTGCTAATGCCAATACTATTATAGCTAACTCTAATACTACTGCTAATGCTAAAATTACTACTGCTAACAATAATACTACTGCTGTGAATACTAATACTACTACTGAAATGCCAATACTACTACAATAAATGCTTATACTGCTACTACTAATGCTAAGATTACTACCGCTAACGATAATACTACTACTGCTAATACTAATACTACTACTGAAATGCCAATACTACTACAATAAATGCTTATACTGTACTGCTAATTCTACTACTGCTAATGCTAATACTACTATTGCTTATCCTGATTCTACTATTGCTACTTATATTTTTTACTAATACTGCTAATGATAGTTCTACTAATGTTAATTCTGCTAATGTTGTATGTAATTTTAGCTATGCTAATTTTGTTACAAGCTAACATCTTGATACATTTAACTAGTTTTTGCTAGTTTTAGCTTTAAGTTAAGGTTTACTTTTCATGTTTAGCTAGCTTTTTGCTACTATTAGGTTTGAGGTAGCGTGTTGCTACTTTTAGCTTTTAGCTAATATTTATTTAAAGATGGCAAATTGGTTTTCTTAGGATTTTTCTACTTTTAACTTGTTGCACATTGCATTTAGGTTTCAGCACAGTCATACAGCACTCAGCGTTTCCACTGCGTTGTTGCAGAATATACTATAGGTATGCCTTTTTTGAATGTTTTATAGGAAACCCTGAATCCTAAATATATTATAAGGAATGGGAGACAGACTGTGTGAAAGAAGACAAAACATCTTGATGTATAAACTTCAGAATAGGTGTACAGATTGTGGCAATAAGAAGAGGTTGTTTGCTAACTTTTTGACACTTTGAACAGCTTAAACATTAGTATGTGATATTAGCATATTTGAACATTCTGTGGTGAAATCAAAATTATAATTGTGTAAAAATTAATATAGAAAAATATTAAAATGCCAAAAGTCTTTTGAAATCAATCCATGTGAACTGTTCAAACTCGAGCCTGACTGATATGTTGATTGGGGCCAATATTTTAGGCGGGTATAGACGTTTGGGGACATATCGGTAACGGTGATAATTAGCCCATTATGCGTCGATATAAACACTTTAAATTTTCACCACAAATGCTGTAAAATGTAAATGTAAAATGCTTGGAACGAGCCGTGTCCTTACTTGCTAAAGGTGTAATTGTACAACATATCCAGCAGAGGGCGCATGCAGAGTACTTTCAAGTCATGGCCATGCTGCACACGACTCAGACGAAGCAGGAAACAATACTTTATAGTATATTTTGCTGAACTGAGCATGGTAAGTTTATTGTTACTGATCTATTAAAAAAAAGCACAAAACAACAATAATAAATTCTCTTCAGTCCTCCAACCCGCTTAGCTACATGCCTCTCAAGTTAGCAAGCTAATGTTTAGCTAACCTAGCATAGGCTACTGCCTTGTACAACTTTATCTAGAACAATAAATCTAACGTAGATTTAAATGTATATCCGTGTTAGTAACGTTATTTTTGTCGTCCTCAGTGAAATGCATTGTCTGAAACTGAAACCCACTCAAAAACCCACTGCTGCAGTCAGTACTAATCAGACCTTCACCATATGTGACTGAACAGGGAAGGACGTCTCTTTGTTTAATTAATATTTTTGTAACACACTTGATAACTTAACCTTATGTTGAATAGTGGAAAGAAAATGTGAACACACGTTAGGAAGGCTGTTTCAAGACTTTAAGCGTTAAAACAGATTTAAGTAGCTGCTGTCTTAGATTCTTGTGGGCGAACAACGCTCAGAAATTTTCAGCCAATATATCTGTGATCAGCATTAGCCCCACACGACCAATATCGATATCAGCAATAGCCAAAATTTCCATATCAGTCGGGCTCTAGTTTAAACTCGAGATGCACAGATTTTTTTTTTATTTAGGCCGATACTAATATACAATTTTTGTTTCAAGTTCAAAAATACTTTTATTAATCCCAAAGGGAAATTATTATTTGTTGTAACTCGTTATCCTCATTTCATTAAGAGTTGTTATAGATGCTGATGGCTGTAGGCAGGAAGGATCTCTTGTAAAGGTCCATCCCACAGTGGATCCTAAGAAACTGGCTGCAGATGCCGTCTGATCCGTTCACCCAGACTCGGCTGGCCTCTCGGTTCCCCCGGGCTGTAGGACCGCCCAAATCTCAGGTAGAACTCCTCCCAGAGCGATGGCCACTCCTCCCAGCAGTCTGCCGAGCTCCTCGTCACTGCGGACAATCAACTGTAGGTGCCGAGGGACGATCCTGTCCTTCCGTTGTCATGACCCGTGTTTCCTGCTAGTTCCAGGATCTCAGTGGTCAGGCACTCGAGCACAGCTGGCAGGTAGATGAGAATGCATCCACAGAACATCATTTTCAACTCATTTGAGATTTGGGGCTGTAGTTGAGATATTATTTGAGTTTTAGGCTGATACCAATTAGAGCTGGACAATAATTCGATATCGATATATCTCGCGATATACTTTTATTCAATAACGATATGAATTTTAAGCACATTTTCGATATTTCGATAGGATTACAGCGTTTTCTGTTCGGGTTGAAGCGGCCACTTCCGTTTCAACCCGGACAGATAAAGGTGCGACACAACTGCGTAAGTGCGTGGTGACGTAATGTTACGCAGAGCTCGAGTCCAGAAGGCGTTAAGTGGTAGCAGGCTAAGCTAGGCTAATCTCCAACGCGCGTTAAGTTTTCTCTTCAAAATGAGTTCCCATGATCGTCAGAATGTGACTGTCTCCAAACTGAAA